GTATTTGGTGCCCTTCCGAACCCTATTCCACTGCCGGTCACATCTAGGTGTTGGCCGCAGACGGGCGGGGATCTGCAGCCAGTTGGAAAGCGGGGATTCGATAATTGTGACCGTGAATGAGGGCATAAACTGCAAGCAACCGGGATCGAGTTGAAAATGGCACACTGAAACTGATGATCTGAATGAATAATAAGCCGCCTTGAAGCCTGGACTCAGGCCGCCTTTCACACGCAGACTGATAGATTGTAAACGTAAATTACGCGGGTGAAAGCTACCGACCAATTGTACGATGACATTATGCTGTTCTCCTGGCCTCTTCTCCCGCAAGCTACCCTTCGCGCTGCTCACCGTCTCCCCATTCTCCCCTGTCGCCCCTCCGCATGTGCGCAGCACCCCATCGGAGCGTCAACCTCTCCACCTCCGCTCGACGTGCAGTGCACAACACCTCCGCTCGACACGCAGTGCACAACACCTCCAATCTATGCTCATCACCCATATCACCCGCCCTACATCCCCTCGCTGCCTCTCCGCCTGGTGACCGCACCGCAACACACCTGGTGTGATCACGCCCCTGCAATCCTGTCCACGCACAATGCAGGTACGCGGTGTGTGCAGGACACCTTTTGTGGCTGTGACTGACATCTTGGAATCGTCAGATGCAGCATTCCCACATGGCGGCGACGAGATCACTTACCAGGACGTCGCAGCGTCGACTGAGGTGCTCTCGTGCTCGCACCCGTCAAGACGTCGCTTCGAGGCGACCGTGGACACCCTGAATATGCCCAGATCCGGCATACGAGGAAGCAAGAGGTGAGTACGGATGGTGCCAGCAAGACGCCGGCCCCAGCGAGCTCATTGTGCCATCCCCAGACTCGACTCGAGATCACCAGAGGGGGAGACAGGTGAGGAGCTCCGAGCAGCACCGAGGATCGAGCTACACAGCGGACACGGTGGGATACTCGCGGTGGACGCATTCGCCGAGTGGTGCGCACGCGCGACGGCGCACCGGGCCGTGAGCGTGCGCAGACGACACCGGACTTTGCGGGGTCCCAATCGAGGTGAGTGATTTACAGTTCGCGGTGTATGGCACGAGAGAGGGCGAGGAGCGTCGCACATGATACCGCCGTGCGACGGCGATGGCGACGTTTGCATCGTGTAGCACGCACGGAGGATGGCGCGGGAGGCGTCGGTGGCAGGAGCACGGGGCAGGTGCTGTGGGGAATGTCGCAGCAGGGCGAGTGTTCCAGGGAGGCGAAGGAAGACGGATGACAGCGAGGAAGGGCGGCGTGGGCGTGGCGCACGTTCGGCGCCGTGTTTCCCATCCGGGATCTGGGACAAACTCTGTTTGAGGTACGCACGCGTGCAGGGTCTTCTGCCGTGCTTCAGACTAACCGTGGGCTGTCTCTATCGTTGCAGGGCTGCGCAGAAGAGGGCGTGCAGCGAAAATGCGAGTGCACTGGCCGGCGGCCATCTCTGGGCGGGAGGACGGGCGCGGGGGGCCGTGGAAGTCGTTCTGGGACGTGGCAGGAAGGCGGCGAGGCGGCGCGGCGGGAGCGCGAGGTATACGCCACAGCCCACGTGCGGCAGACTCTAATCGGGGTGAGTGCATGCGCACAGCTTCCTGTACCGCCAGGACTGACCCTACGTGTCCGGAAAGGCTGAACACGACGGCGCGCGAGGGTGTGGCCACACGGCGATCTGACAACCCCCAGACGCATGCGGCAGCCCAAACAGGCGCCGCTGACGCCGAGGGCTTCGATACACTCCGTCGTGAGCGGCCGTCGGGCTCCAGAAGATGTACAAGACGATGGAGCGGATGGAAATGGTAAGCAAACACGAGTGCATCTGCAGTCCACGTTCCCGACATACCTATCAGGCCAAGAATGGGGTTGCGCACGCCTCCAGCGCGTCGCGTGCAGCAGGGTGGCCGGCGCGGGGCGACATGCCCAAGTGGGCGCGCGATGCGCGACTGGCCAGCTGTGGACGTCGTGTCGCTCCACGGCAGCGCACTTGCAAGTCGACCAACTTTGCGGGGCGGCAGGGCATTCGGGAGTCGCGTCCTTACCTCGAAGAAGCAGGCGGAAGCGGCAAGTCGGCGTGGCAGGCAGAGAGTCGGCGCGGAGTTCGGGGCTAGGTAAGCGCCGGCTCCGTCAGCTGTCCAGAGGGGATACCTGACGTGTCGTCCGCAGAGAACTCGGCGGCGGGGACAGAGACCGACCAGTTTGGCGGGACAGCGAACGGTGGGGCGCGTTTTGCGAGTGCGCAAGGCGATCGTGCGAGCGAAGGCCCGCGCGGCGAACGACTCGGAAAACACGTCCAGGCGAGTCTCCGCAGGCGCAGAGAACAAACTCGCGCGACGGTGCGGTGGACTCGCAGAGAGTCCGCCAGAGCCCCGGGGCGTGCAGAAACGACGAGGTCAGCAAGAGAGCGCGACGGCCAGAAGACGTCAGACTGTCAGCGGTCAGCGGCAGATGCGCACCCTCCCGCGCGACAGCACGAGGGCGCCGTGTCGCCGTGCGAAAACCATGTTTGGGTCGTCGGCGCGGAGGACGAGACCAAGCCGAGGTGAGTAGACAGCCTTGGAGACGAGACATATGAGGGTCCTGAACACGAGAGCACAGGCACGGCGAGAGAGACTGAGCGAGTTCGCGCGCGGGATGGTGGCGGTGTGGAGGCAAGGGGTGGGCGCCTATTCTGCGAGGGCGGATTTCGACCGAGTGCGCGGAGGGTGTTTTGTTTTGCGGACTGTATCGCGCGCGGGGCGTGTCCTTGTCATAATACATCCTGTATGCATGCTCTGTGCACGATGCGGCCTCTGCGAGCTCGACCTCGGACCGGACTCGGAGTCCGCCTGCTCCCTCCCGTCTCCACTCAATGGACCACTCCTGGCCACTCCCCTCCTACCCCCCTCTCCTACTCCCCCTCCAGTTGCAGAGTCCGTGAATCTCCCCGCGGCCGTCGTCCTCGCATACTCCCTCCTCACGTGCCGCCGAGTCCCCCAGTCCAAGTCCCCACCGCCACCGCGCATCCCAACGCGCAGCGTCACACGGCGTCACATTCTCGCGGGTGACGTCATCACTCTTCCTTAAGGTTCGACGACGTCGACGATGCAGACGCGCTCAGCGACTCGGCGGTTGCTTCGCTCGACCGTCTTCCAAGTGACGCGACAGTCGCGCTCTCCTGTTCTACTAACGCTTATACGCCGGACTTCCAGCATGCCCTTCAAACGCCCAGCCCCCAATCCGACGCAGTCAGCCTCCGCGTCCGGGTCTTCCTCGTCTTCAGGCTCACCACCTCCCGCGAAACGCTCCAAGGCCTCCATGACCAAGTCTCTGCCGGAGATAAAGGTATA